ATAAAGAGACAAAGAGACAAAGGAGACAGAATATAAATAAAACAAAGACAGAAAGGAGACAAAGACAGAAAGGAGACAAAGACAGAAGGTAAAGAAAGAGAAAAAAAACAAAGACAGAAAGGAGACAAATACAGAAAGGAGACAAAGACATAAATAAAACAAAGACAGAAAGGAGACAAATACAGAAAGGAGACAAATACATAAATAAAACAAAGACAGAAAGGAGACAAATACATAAATAAAACAAAGACAGAAAGGAGACAAAGACATATATAAAACAAAGACAGAAAGGAGACAAAGACAGAAATAAAACAAAGACAGCAAAAACCCAAAGACAGCAACAAAACAAAGACAGCAAAAACCCAAAGACAAAAAGGAGACAAAGACATAAATAAAACAAAGACAAAAAGGAGACAAATAAAGAAATAAAACAAATAAAGAAAAAAAACAAAGACAGCAAACCCCCAAATACAAAAAAGTAGACAAAGCCGTAAACAAAACAAAGACACGAACAAAACAACTAAACAAAAAACCCAAAGACAGCAAAAACCCCCAAATAAAAAAAAAAAAAGGAGACAGTATATGCATGCATATATATTTACTAGTATCCATGTGGGGCAGGGGGGATGGGGCTGCAGCGCGCCCTCTAAATAATAATATTTAAAAGCTAAAAGAGTTTCAGCAGAAATCATCGCCAAGTCAAGCCAACACTGTAAACCCATACGCGGACACTCGCTGCAGCAGCAGCAGCAGCAGCAGCAGCAGCAGCAGAAGCAGCAGCAGGAGCAGCAGCAGCGGGAGCAGGAGCAGCAGAAGCAGCAGCAGCAGCAGCAGAAGCAGCAGCAGGAGCAGCAGCAGCAGAAGAAGCAGCAGCAGCAGCAGTGGCAGCAGCAGCAGCAGCAGCAGTGGCAGCAGCAGAAGGGAGAGAATGCAATGTGGGTGCACAGAATATATGCTAACTGCTGTAAAGGCAACTGCAGCAGCAGGAGAAGCAGCAACTGCAGCAGCAGCAACAGCAGCAGCAGCAGCAGCAGCAGCAATAGGAGAAGCAGCAACAGCAGCAACAGAAGAAGCAGCAACAGCAGCAACAGCAGC